GAAGTTACAGGCTGTTCCCTGGCTTGCTGGGTTTTTTTTCAGACTGCTCCAAGGATTTAGAAGCCTGGCCCCTGAGAAAGCCAGCTGCCTCTACATAATTGTGCAGTAGTGTTGCTATCCCATTAGGACCTGGGAAAGGGGAGGAGAAGCAGGCCATTGCAAGTTACATGGCTGGCCTGCTCTAGGCATCAGTGATGTAAGCCATTCACCTTGCAGTCTCCCATCAGTGATAGGTGGCCAAATGTAGCTCTGGTCTCTAGCCACTTCAGATACAGGCTTACCATGCTCAGAGGCAGCTTTGATGTATGTCTGTCAGAGCCTCAAGTCTGGATAAGGGTACAAAGCTACAGCTAATGGCAGCTAGCAAAATTAAGCTATCAGACTAGAAGGGCAATGACCAATCAATAGCTACTGCATCCTGTAATGTGTTTTTCCTAACTATTAGCATGGACAAGACTATTAACTTCAAAGAAAATAAACCTAAAATGGTCTCTAGAATAAGAATCACATAACATAATGAGCACTCAATGGAGTGCCTAGGCCTTGAGGCATTACACTGTGTGTGAACTACACAGGCTGCAGTAATCACCTTTTATGCATTAACAACTCAGTTCTGCTCTCTCCTAGAGATTTACAGATTTACGCTGATTTAACAGGGTCGTTTCAGGCACAGATTCTGTCCATCTCCCCACCTCCAAACTCAAGAAGTTTTTTTTTTTTTTTTTTTAAATTGGAGCAATTTCCTCCAAGGGACATCTCTTCACCTCCGTTTCTTCAGGAGTCTACACACAATACTGAGGTTTTGTTAAAGCTGTAAGCTTGTGCCTGCACAGTTGCATGGCTGTGGGAGAGGAATTTTAAATCATTGAAGGCAGAACAGAATTAATGAAGGGAGGGTGGCAATGCTCACGTCCCTCCTCAACTATAGCTGTCACAAGAGAAGCTTGTGACTACAGCATCCAGGACTCTTTCCATTTGCTACACTCCATTTCCCATTTGGCCAACACAAGTATTAACTTTCCTCCCCAGCTGTCCACTGTCCCTCTCAGACAGAGGGCAGCTCTTCCCATCTGCCCCCCAAAAAACAGTTGTTGTATTATGTGGAATATGTATGTTTAGGAGATATTCCTTGGTTTGATCTGTTGATTTATATTAAAGGCCTGGGCTTATGCCTTTACCTAGAGAGCACTACTGTGCAGTCTTAAGTAGCCTGCATCCTGTTTCTGCTAGATTAAAAGAGAGCATTTGCATCTGAAAGCACAGAAGGAGATGGAGAATTCAACTGTTCTGGTCACAGACAAAGTCATTTCACCAGTAATTTAGTGTCACAGACAACTTCTCCCCATTGCAGACCAAGAGGAAGGGAAAGACTGTCCCTGGCAATAGCCAAGGTGAAGGGGTGAGGAGACATGTCAAGGTGTTGCAGTCCAGCAGGCTATAAACCCAAGATGCTGTGGAAAACCCAACGCACTATGAGGGAGGACACTGGGAACAAGATCTCCAAAGAGGACTAGGCTTCTTCCCTCATAAACTGTATCTCTGTCCTCTATGCTTCTCTGTTACACAAGGAAGATGAAGTACCCCTTACTGGAAAAACCTCTTGCTCTGGAGAAACACTTTCTTAGATTATTCAACCCTTTCTGCTGCAAACTGCTACTGGAAAGCCACTGTCAAGCTTCATCACAGCCCATGAATAGGACTCTTCACCTTCTGTCTGCTGGGACCTACCCAACGTATCTACCACATTTACCCAAGGAGATAACAGCTTTGCTCCTAGATCTGAAGGAAACTAGAGCTATTTTTTTTCTAGACTACCACAGATGCTAGAATATTTATATGCATTTGACAGAGGGGTTTATGAAGCCCAGTGTTTACTGCTGCCCTTTCAAACTGCTGATTTAAAAGGTTAGTAATTTTCACCTTTGCCCAAACTGCAAAACTTCTGTGATACTTCCAAGACAACCTTCTGCAGAGGTTTACTGTCCTGGCACAGGAAGACTGTGCAAGCAGGGCTGTGCAAGAAGAGATGGCTGTAAACAGACTTTGACCAAACTGAAGATGGAAGCCTTGACGTGGCCCTGAGCACGTTCTCCATCTTCTGAGGGTTTGGCTTCCTGGACTCAAGGCAAACTTAGATAAGAATATTGGTGTCTTGCTTTGAAAATCCTCAGCAAGGTTCTACGGCTCCTTTGCCTGGGAGCTGTATTTAAGCTCAGGTTCTCACCTTTGATCCCTGTCTGAGCTACAATGCAGCCAGGCCCATTCCTGACCCTACTGATCTAAGTTCACACCCTGACATCCTTTATCTTCCTGCTAAGGTACTGTGGGACTGTTCCTTTATTAGGAAGGCCACTGCCCCTGCCTGCCTTGCTCCGATTCTCAGCTCCCAGCTTACCCTCTCTTTCAGAGCAGCCTGCCCTTGCTGCTCCCAGACAAACAGCCCACTCAGTTCACCCTGTTCATCTCTGCAGTCAGCACAGACTGCTTGCCATTTACAAGTGTTGCAAGAATCAAACCTGACAAACCTCTACAGGCTGTAGAAGCCTCCTATTGTCTGATATGCTAAATAGCAGGGCAACTAAAAGTTCTCCCGCTTGCTAGTTTTATCCTTGTTCTTACACAAGGATATTACACAGTATTATACACACCTACAGCCAAGCCTGTTCCCATGGGTATTTTAGTATTTTTTGGTTGTTTTTTTTTTTTGTTTTTTAAAACCATTTGGAATAGCCATAGGCCATTTTTGTCTCCTTCTTCCAGGCTCCTACTTCTTTGCCCAGGCAGAGGCTGAACCTCCATCACCTTTAAAGCTGCTCTTGTCCAGCCTGCTGGCCATGATGCACTTGCAGAAGGACAAGTAGGCTAATGGGGGCTTGTCGGAGACATAAAAACCTTCAATCCGCAGAGCTGCCAAAGCAACAACAATTTGACAATTTAGAAGACTCGCAACATTCTTTTCCCCAGCATTACTTAGTTTAATTACTATTTTTGCACCAGTACATCTTATGCTTTATATACATATATCTTTAATTTTTGCTTCTTCAGCTTTTCAAACACATAAATTAGTATTCTGAAGATAATATATAAGACAGAACACAGAATAAGAGGCTCCTGGTTAGTTGCTAATTGGTGCTATAAACTTCCTTGGTTTGGGGAACTGATACATAGTTGAAATGACATGACCTGACAATGATATGCAAAAAAACAAGCCAGGCAGCAGAGTCCATGGCTTAGCCTAGAGAACGCAGGGAAATAAAACGGACAGCTAGCAGATTACAAATTCAGAGGAGGCTGGGAACTGATGTACAGTGAGACTCAGGAATGACTGGGGTGGGGGAAAAGCAGGGGGAACACCAAGAGAGCCAGGGGATCAGGATTAAGTGACTAAAAATGACAGCCAAGAGCAGTCTGGTCTCCACTTCCCCAAGTGGAACTGCAGCAGCTTTATAGCTATTTAAAAAAAAAAAAAAAATTAGCTTCCCAGAGGGATGATCTAAGTGAAATTTTGTCTCCAAAATACCCGGGGTGTAATAAGACAAAAAGGACCAGAGACCTTTGCAAGTGCAAGGTGTATACAGCTAACTACTCTCCAAGAGCCTCATCATGAAATTTTAGCCCCAGAGGGCAGAATTTACTTGCACAGACGCCCTTGCAGAGGGTATCTCAGTGACAAGAGTCTTGCTGCTGGTTGAATGTTCACAAGAAGCCTTCCTGTGAAATACAGAAGTCTAGCGTTCTATGAAGTGGGTCAGAGCTACAGGAAGGTCATTGAGACCATCTTTGCTGCTAGTGTTTTGGCTAATCAGCTAGCATGGAGGGGCTTGTGTTTTCTAGCCTTCCCTGGAATGTTGCCCAGGGTAACCGGCAGACTCATACCCAGGATCACATCCATAGCTGCTATAGGTGGGATAGTTTACAGACTAAGAGGGCCCTTATCTCTCACAAATGGAACAGGAGAGACTTTCTTAGGCCTTCTACCTCCGACTTTCTAACCTCCTAAAATATACAGGAAAGTAGAGACTCTTCAGGACAAATTAAAAAGTTACAACAACCAGATTATACCACTAGAAAGTTAGCTTCAAAAGGACAACCACAAGAAGGAACACAGGTGGGAAATCCAGCTGCCACAGCTCTCAAGATTGGGCTTCGTACACATTTCTTGCCCAAATGATGAGTGTGAAGTGAAAGGGGGAGAGGAGGTGTCCCTTCACTACAGAATACCCCATTTTCCCACCATGGTTCTTACTGCTGTGTAATACCTGTAACAGTGCACAGTCACCACATGTACTGCTGGACAAATACATAGGGCTCAGGATAGTGATGCAGGAACATGAAATGCTGAGAGGTGGGATCATCTGGTTGTCATCTAGTGTAAGTAACTACTAAATTATAAAAAGGCTTCTCTCCTCTCTCTCTCTTTTTTTTTTTTTTTAAAAGAAAGCTATTTCCAAGCTCTTTATACCTCCATTTCAATGACATGGAGATCTTTGCATTGGGGGTGGGGGAAGGGGGCAAGAAGTTCCTCCAGTGAACCTACAAGCCAAACAAGGAGCCTCATAGTGGTGTGCCCATTTGGAGCCACAGCACAGTGGCAGCAGCAGGTCTACTTAGTGTCCTGCATGTCTCCTCCCACAAGAGCACAGGAACATCGAGCACTACCAAGAATTGCACCAAACAGAGGAAGAGTAGTGTGAGCATGGGGAGGTTCACTCCTCACCACAAACATGCCATAATTAATCAAACAGGATTTTGTGTTGAGACTTAGAGAGATAGACAAAACCTATCTCCCTGTAGCTTCCATTTATGAGTCGCAGCCAAACATAGCTGCCCTCAACACCGTAGGCCAAGCTGCAGAGACTCAAGTCACTACTGGAAGCAGCCACAGAAAGCAACAGGCCATACCAGAAAGATTTAAAGGACAAGGAACCCAGATGCACCTACCCAGCCTCCTCCTGTACCCACTTTCCTCAGGATTTTTGTTTTCCCTGTATGGAAGCATGTGGAAAAAGAGCTAGGATGCACCATGTAACAGCCAAGTGGGTAGAAGAGACGAAGCTACCTCTTTCCTCCTTGCCCACCATGTGAGGCATCAGTATGTTCTCTTTAGGTTCAGTGGTTTTACTGTGAGATCAAAATTAGTAAGCTTTGACTGAAATGAAGATCTACTTTAAAAAGGAGGGATTGTCCTGACTTGTTTTTGATTGAAGACTAGAGAGGTTTGTGCCTCCTCTGATCCCATTTGCTGCTTCTGGAGCCTCTTGGTCATCAGTTTGTTCCATTTCACTGCTTTGACCATTTAGAACTGGACCCAGTTGGATTGCTGAGGAGCCTGATTAGGAACAGCACTGAAAGAAGGAAAGAAAGGACAATCAAAGAAGCAGATCTAATAACAGACTTCCTAACTCATGGCTCTTCCAGTGCCCTTTCAGACTCCACCCTTCTTGTATGCTGTTCACTCCACCACAGTTTACCTGGATGCAGCATTGAAATCTCCCCAGAGGTCTGTGGTAGCTGGTGCCTTGGATGCAGATGCAGGAGTGCCTAAGTCTAACAGAATATCTAAGGCAGAAAAAGACAACAAGTAATCAAGAAGGAAAAAAAAAAAACCCTACAGGCATTTAAATTGTCACCTTACACAACCTCTCCTTCCTGATAGGTGCAGTGGCACAGCCTCTCTAAACAGACTCCAGCTCTACCTCCAGAAGGAGGAAGTTAAGAGTTTTTAAGGACTGAGTTTGTTATAACAGCTCCTTTTGCTGAATGTGCACTGAGCCTCCAGCATCTGCTACAGGAGTGCATCATCTTCAAGAACCATTCAGTCCCTGTCTCTCATACCAACTAACATTTTACCCCTCCCAGTAAACATAAGGCTCAGACCCAACACTAGTGGGCACAGACATCATAACAGTTGCCAAAGAGGCATCACTACCAGTACAAATCGCATAGTGGAGCCCAACCCTAATCAGAAGGCTGTGGTTTCTTCTCGGGTCTGTATATGCCATTGCTTAAATCTCTACCTTCTCTATACACCTCTGCATGGTCACACTTCTAGTACAACACCTAGAAAACTTCAGCAACTCTACTCTTGTCTCCTCCTTATAGCCCAGTCCCACTATACTCTGCACCTCCTTGTATTGTGTTCTTTATACTAAAGCTGCCTCTCTCCCTATTCCAAGCCTGTCAGTAAGTGCTTTTCCTGTATCTCTCAACAGCAACTACAGGCTGATCTATATTCTCCTGTGGAAAGCAAATGTGGACCTGGCAGTGCTTTTCTGGATGCCTCATGCAGCTCTGCCAGTGCCTGTCAAACAAGCAAAGTCAGAAAATCTAAGCATTTAAGTTGTATATCCAACCCCCCAGATCATTTTGACCGAGTCCCTTGGTTTCTCCTTTTGCAAGAGTAAGGGCCAAGATGCTGTGCAGGGGAAATGACCAGGCATTATTGTCAAACAAACGTGGAGATCCTCAGGTCAAAGACAACAAAGCCCTCAGGACACATCATGTCTCACAGGGCTTTTAACTGCGCTGTTGATACTGGACTTAACACCAGTTCCCTGAACCATGCCTCAGTCCTCTCTATGCACCTACTAGCGTCCGACAGATTGATTGCTCTGTGCTAGTGTTTACCTGCACTGCTCACGTTACTGGATTTCAGCATGGGCGGTGGTGTGACATGGCTGGCAATGGCTGTGGAAGAATGGGGAGGGATGGGAGGGACAGCAATTTTGCCTCCTGGTGGGGGTGGCAGCAGGCTTAGGCCCCCTGATCCAGATGCACGGGGCTTGGCTGCCCCTCCTTTCTTTGTTGTCATGTTCTGTATAAAAAGAGGGGACAAATGATGAAGCATCTCAACTGGCAAATCCAAAGAAAGAAGCTGGAGCAACCAGACTCCTTACCCCAATGTTCAGTTTGATGGTCTGTCCTTCCTTGAACCCTAAATCTAATTTGGGACGTGTGTCAGCTTCCTGGGATTCCTTGGAGATCTCAGTCTCCTGCTTCACCCACCTAAAAGAAAGAGGAAGACATAAGACCCTATGGCAAAGGGAAATGGGGCTTCAGAAAAATGCACAGTTCCTCCCTCCTGCCAAAGAACTAGCTTGCCTTGTCAGTCTAGCTACCTCATTGCTCCCAGTATAGCACAGCAAAAAATTCAGACCACAGAAGCCCAAAAAGCTGTTAAACACCACACCTGCAGCGTCACAGGACCCAAGCTTTTGGCTTACAGATCTGATCCTACAAGACCCTTAGCCTGCATGGTGGTTTAGAGCACACACGAGTGTGTGTTCCTGATGGAGCCACAGCTGGCCTTCAAGACTATCCCAAAGAAGCCTATGCTAAATGAATGTGCAGAGCTACCCACTGTGTTCCACAGGCCAGAGGAAAAACAGCATCCCAGAAGAGCCCAACTCACTTGAAGTGATCCTGCAAAGAGACGTTGAAGTCAAATGCATCACCCCGATCCGCGAAGCCAATGCCAATGAAAGCACTTCGTCCTAACAGTGAGACAGAAGGGGTCATTGGAAATGTCTTGCAAAGGTGCCCCTGTGTTCATTCTCTCCCAAATCCTTCTGCTTCTCCTAAACCAGTCTGTGCTACCTCCTTTGACAGCTCTGCAGCTGGACAACACAGGCACACAGCAGTTCTTTGCTCCTAGCCTATAGGATGCACCCTTCATCCCACGTGGCACTCTCCAAAACTGAATCCTCCTTCTCAGCCTCTGGACTCTGTGCAATGTAGAGAAGCCTCCTCTGCTGATCTTGCCTTCCTACCCCTCCAGGCACATTATCCAACCTTTTCAGCACTCCCAACATCATCTCAATCCACCTGGCCTACACTCAGCTTCAGCAGGTTAACTCTCTTCCACCCCCAGCACTTGGGCCATGCATGACTCCTTGACTCACCAGTTCCATTCTGAATCCGAATGACAAAATAGCGGCTGGAATCTGTCACCGTCTCCACTGCAATGCCAGGGTATTGGTCTATGGGAGCCTGAGCAAAAAGCTCCCCTATAGGCAAAGAATCAGGCGTTAACAAGAGCAACCTCTTTCTAAAAGATGATTGGGGCTGCCACGCACAGCTCTGAGCTGGCTTAGAAGCACAGGCTCCTAAGTAGCAACCACAGTTATAGTGTTGACAAGCCACACCCCTTCCCTTACCTGAAACCTTATCCTCTAGTTTTATGTATGCGGTTTTGCCTTTGGAGGTCACACGAAGTCGCCCTGTCCAATCCGGATGGTCCAGTTTCCAGTCAGAAGCCCTGAAAAAAAGAGCAACTCTTCACTGACAGTTCCTCAATATTTACATTTCTGCCCAACCAGCTCAGCTAAAGCCCCTGCTCCCAAACCTTCATCACATGAAGTTGCCTCATTCCGCTTCTCTCTCTTCCCACTAAGTTCGGGAGTCTGCTCCTCTCCATTGTGGGGTTAACTCCTCACTGAGGGTCTCAGCTCCTCTCTGTCACTACCAGTCTACATACGAGGCTCAGGATGGCCTTTCTTTCCTTCGGGTAAAGGAAAATAGATACAGTCCAGAGAACATCAACTCCCTGTCTTTACTTTTATAAACTTGCAGAAGAGGAGAGACTGAAACCCTAGAACTCAGTTGGGATAGTAAACCTAAAAAGGACTAATAAGCAACTAGTGAGCATCAGGAAGGCCTAAAAAATTTACAGCATGCTGAAAAGACACTTGATACTTTTTACAACAATGGGGTAAAATAATGAGTACTTCTAAAACTAGAGGCAGCTTGTTTACTCTATGTAAGGCACCACACACACAAGCATACACACAATCTTATTTGGCCCATCAAACTCTTTGCTACAAAACGTTGGGGGAAGGGGAGGAAAGAGTCAATCCTACAGCATTCTACACTCAGAACTGAACATTTGTGGCCAGGAATACCATCGACAGCAGCAACAGTTCAGCAAGACAAAGCAAGTGCTCCTGACACCATTAGTGTTTCAGAGCATAAACCAGTCACTCCAAGAACTCTGTGGAAGTAGCTCACAAAGTCATGTTCTGCTGGTTTTGGCTAAAGACAGAGAAGGTATTTCTAACTAACTTCTAGCCCCGCCAGAGTCACAATCAGCTTTTTCTGGCTTCCACCCCCACTGCTCCAAAAGCCAGTGGGCCAAATTTAACTTTTTGTTATACCACATCACGTTTGTGCCTCGGGGAGCAGAGCAAATATAATTGAGGGCAGAAGTTATTTCTGACTAGAAAAAGCACAGCAAGTGATTTACATCTTCATGTCCTGTGTGAGATTAACTAAGGAGACTCCCCATTCCCCTACAGCACAGAGGAGAACACTCTTGGTTTTAGGCACAGAGAATATACATCAGACTTGATACAGGTTTATCAGAAACATCAAGTACATCATCTGCAGCTGAAGTTTGTGAAACTGCAAGTGCGTAAGGCTTCAGAAAGCCTACTTGACTTGCTTAATGCCAAAGAGAGTGCAGACAGTTCCGCAGGTATTAGCACATAGAAGCCTCCGCCTCTCAATCCTCTGTTTATTCACACAGAACAGACTGTGCTGACTCTGGGCAATTCTGCAGGAGCGCCTGAGCCAGCACACTCTGCCAGAGCAGTACCAGCTCTGCAGGGACAACGTGGGGTGGGGGGAGGGAGGGAGGGAGAGAAAGAAATACATCTACCACCAGAGAAAGCAGCTATGGTATGACTCAGAGCACACACAAGAACAGATTCGTGAAATAAGAAGAGGTCATTTTTACAAATTTACTTCTCCCTTGATCCAGGCTGCAAGCCCAGCACAATGCAGGGCATGGGCATCACAAAGCAAAACCGAGAGGCCCAAGGCCACAGCTCAGACCCCGGTTACAAGACAAAAACGAACGATAGCAACTCAGTGCATGACTGCACTACCTTTTCACTCTGCGACAGCACAAGGAGCCCGCACCTTCCCTCAGCAACGCTTCTCCCACCCCAGTTCTGGCACCGTCAAGAGGCGCTGGCATCCCGCGGCGCAAGCGGGCCGCTGCCGCACAGGCACTGGCACCTACTCCAGCCACCGGCCCCCGGAGAGGGCACCTCTCCCCCCCTTTTTTTTAGTGCCGCCTCAGGGAGCCCCGGAGCGCAGCCGTGCTCCCCATGACGCCACGGCGGAGCGGCGCGGAGCGCGGCGGGGCGCGGCACAGCGCACAGCCCCCTGCCCAAACACAGATCGCCCGGCCTCAACCTCGGCCCCGGCTCCCTGGCACAGCACAGACCCCCCTTACCTGTATCCGCGGTTGGAGGTGCGCGGCGGGATGCGGTACACGTTGACATCAGGCTTCACACACAGAACAGACTCATACTCCAGCTCAGCCGCCGCCATCTCAGATATTAACCCCAACTACCTCAGCAGGTAACGGCAGGGGGGGGGACCAATAGCCGGGGGGGCCTCCGGCACCCAAGCTTAGACGTTGCCAAGGGCGCGCGCGTGTGGCCATATTGCAATCAGGCCGCGCTAAAGGCGTGGCGGAAGGCATCATGGATCGTGGCAGCAAAACGCTGGAGTAGGGGAGGGGAGGTGGCCATATCGAAACCGTTCCTGACAAAGCAATACGGATGGGTGCCATCTTGGATCCTGGCAGTTGCCACAGGGTTTCGCGCGGCCATACTTGATTCGGGCTGATGAAGTCGTGTCGAGCGCCATCCCGAATACTGGCGACTTCCCTTTCTCTCGGATACTAGAGTGGCGCGGAAAAGCAGCCATGTTGGAAATGGGCAGAATGGAGCAGGCGGCCACCGGAAGCCGTACCGCGTGCTGGCGTGGGTGGCCGGGCCGCCCTTGCGCTGGCCCGGGTGCTAATGGCTCTGGCTGAGGGCATGGCCCGGGGCAGGATGCATGGCCCTCCTGGGCCTTCTTGGGCTCACCCCACGGAGCATGTGTGTATGAGCGGCCAGCCCAGCTTCTCCAGGAACAGAGCCACCCCAGGAAGTGTGAGAGCTGCTTCCCACATGCCCCATGCCCAGGGCAGGACCAACTGAGCACTTCCAAACCAAAGTGACACCAAGCAGAAGCTCACAGTGTTGTGTCATGTGCTGGAAAGCTGCTGCTCAGGCAGCAGCAGTCAAAACATGCAGTTCGGTTGTGTGCTTTCATGTATTTGGAGGTCTTTTAGTTCTCTGAATGTTCTGAGTACTGTTTTGGGTGCTTTGCCTTCTTTCTTTCATGTTTTTCTTCTCTGCAGCCCTAGGTCAGGAAGTTGGATTTTAGAGGAAAAAGGTTTTTTGTGTACTCTGTGGTTCTGCGACTAAGAGGCCCTTGGTAAAACAGCAAACCAAAGAGAAAGTGCAACACAAACCACTGTAAGTTTTCCAGCTAAAACTGGTGAAAGTGCATGTTAAGTGTGCTTAAGGTTAATTTCAGAGGTATGACTTCCCAGAAATTTGGCTAACCTAAGTATATAAATACTAATTTATTTATTAAATATAATAGGATAAATATTAGTAGCATTTAGACTGCTATTTTGTAATAGTCACTAACTTCCCAGTGGAAGCTGGTGCTGAAGTCTACCGCTGTACAGTTGCTTGTGGCGGACTCTAGAGAATGTTGACCCTGAAGACTGGGGAAAAAAGGGGTAAGGCAAGTTATGAACAAAGTTACGTTTGTCCACCCAGCCTGGGACAGACATAATATGGGCTAATTGTGCTAGGAAGTAATTTAAGCAATCCATGGAACACTGAATAAGCATAGTTTATTGCTGAGGGTGAAACAAAGTGAATGAAATGGCGCTGAGTTTGGGGAATTATTTTTTTTCTGGTATGGTATAGTGTTAGTTAATGCAGTGAGAGCTGAAACTGTGTTTGGAGATTTGTTATCATTTTCATTCCAGGGGTAAGTGGAACTGGGTGGTAATAAACCTCAGCCATAGCATTCTAAACAAGCAGTCCTTCTGTCAGGCCTAAGGTCCAACTAGCCCAGCAGTATGTCTCTGACAGTGCCCACTACAGAAAATATTTGAAACAAAGGGAGTTTGTGCTACTAGTTCCATAGATCTGGTAAGCGAAGCCCAGAAAAGGAAGTCTTGAGTCATTAAAGTCATTGAGTCATTAAAACTAACAAAACAAAATACTTACAATTTAACTAGCCTATCTAAATGTAACTGGCCAAATTTTTCAGAAAAAAAAAATGATGTGGGCAGCTGTATGAATAGATACACACAAAGGAAGTATGACTGGTGTGAGCTGAGTACCTGAAAAGACCTGGTTTACTATGGAATTATGCAAATACACAACTTTCCCTCTGCCAGCTTGTTCTGCCTCCTTACAGCAGGAGGGAGGGGCTGGCACACAGGATTTTTGTGGCAGATCTTGATGCTCCAGGGAGCAGAGGCCCCCACTTGAGTGAAGCAAGCTGCTCCCTGCCAGGCTGCACACTGGAGCAGGCAGATAATCTGTCTATCTTCCTGGGCAATGAGATTTGAAACCCTTCAGGCAGCCTGGACAAGAGCAAATGGGAATGTGTGGAGCCAATACTTAATGCAGGTAGGTGCCACAACGTAAAAGAAAGCTCTGCCTCCCTGCTTACAGTATGGCAGGGTTATGTTGCTTGCCAGATTGTCAGAATAAAAGAAAAGGTAAAAGACAGCACGGTTCTGATGCTGTACTGAAGCTAAAAGAGGTTAACGAGAGGCAAACCTTGGAGGAGAAGGCAACAGAGTTGCTTAAAGAAAGCATATTGAACAGCACAGAATTACACTTTCCTCACATGAGGAGAGGCTGACAGAGCTGGGACTGTTTAGCCTGGAGAAGACAAGACTGAGGGGGAATCTGATCAATGTGTATAAGTATCTGAAGGGAGGGTGTCAAGAGGATGGGGCCAGACTCTTCTCAGTGGTGCCCAGTGACAGGACAAGAGGCAACTGGCACAAACCTATCTAAATGTAACTGGCCAAATTTTTCAGAAAAAAAAAATGATGTGGGCAGCTGTATGAATAGATACACACAAAGGAAGTATGACTGGTGTGAGCTGAGTACCTGAAAAGACCTGGTTTACTATGGAATTATGCAAATACACAACTTTCCCTCTGCCAGCTTGTTCTGCCTCCTTACAGCAGGAGGGAGGGGCTGGCACACAGGATTTTTGTGGCAGATCTTGATGCTCCAGGGAGCAGAGGCCCCCACTTGAGTGAAGCAAGCTGCTCCCTGCCAGGCTGCACACTGGAGCAGGCAGATAATCTGTCTATCTTCCTGGGCAATGAGATTTGAAACCCTTCAGGCAGCCTGGACAAGAGCAAATGGGAATGTGTGGAGCCAATACTTAATGCAGGTAGGTGCCACAACGTAAAAGAAAGCTCTGCCTCCCTGCTTACAGTATGGCAGGGTTATGTTGCTTGCCAGATTGTCAGAATAAAAGAAAAGGTAAAAGACAGCACGGTTCTGATGCTGTACTGAAGCTAAAAGAGGTTAACGAGAGGCAAACCTTGGAGGAGAAGGCAACAGAGTTGCTTAAAGAAAGCATATTGAACAGCACAGAATTACACTTTCCTCACATGAGGAGAGGCTGACAGAGCTGGGACTGTTTAGCCTGGAGAAGACAAGACTGAGGGGGAATCTGATCAATGTGTATAAGTATCTGAAGGGAGGGTGTCAAGAGGATGGGGCCAGACTCTTCTCAGTGGTGCCCAGTGACAGGACAAGAGGCAACTGGCACAAACTGAACCACAGGAAGTTCCGTCTGAACCACTTTTTTACTCTGAGGGTGACTGAGCACTTGGAACAGGTTGCCCAGAGAGGTTGTGGAGCCTCCATCCCTGGAGATATTCAAAAGTGTGTGGACACAATCTGGGCAATGTGCTCTAGGTGACCCTGCTTGAGCAGGGGGGTTGGACTAGATGATCTCTAAAGGTCCCTTCCAACCTCAATCCTTCTGTGATCTGTGGGTAGCCTGATAATAATCCATGCAGAAGAATCATTTGAGCTTTTACTTTGGTTTGATTGTGTTTCAGAAAAAATAATGCATTGTCCAGTAATGTGCATGAAGCCTATCTTAATGGATGGATACAACATATGGCACATATTCCTTCTGTGCATAAAAGGCACAAGGGAAACCCACCTTGCAAAATGAATCACTTAAAATCTTGAAACAAGCGTTTACATAGAACAATCCAAACACTATTTCAGACAATGACTCTTTCACTGAAAATGCCCTGGTAAAAATTCTGACTCAAATCATCCTCCAGTACTGATCTTTTATTTTGAAGAGCTGCTTTTTCATTCTGTGATCTATGTATATACCCGTTTTGCCAAGCTTGTTTCCTGCTTGATGTGCAAAAGGCTTGTGCCTACCTGAACTTACCAAGCAGTGCACGAGAATGGTTTTGGGTTATCCAGGGGATTTTCTAAAGAAGAGAAACTGAGGAATATCAATACAGAGCAACCTTGCTGATTCCTGGAGTTACTGCAGCAGCAGCCAGTGAGTCTCTATGAAACTAAGTACATACTAGAGACAATGAAAAAAAAGAATATAGTAAAGATTGGCCACTAAAGCACCACAGCATGCTCTCTGGCGATGCAGTTATGCTAGCTATGGCTAAGCTTTATAGGGAATGTTTTGGACATTTGTTTAGGAAGATGAGCTTGACAAATACACAGGGAACTTTCAGCATCTGGGAAAGATGACAGCTATCTAGTGGCTCCACCTGCTCAGAAATGAACAGGGAGTCTCAAAGGGTCTGTAAAGCTTTGGAGAACTGCAGAAAAAGTAGTAAAAATACAAAATGGAAGTGGAATTCTCAATTCTTGCCAAACTGTTCTGGAAGCAGCCTGCATTCTCTTGAGGGTGGGAGGTTTTTGTAAGTATACCTGATCACATTTATTGAAGAGCAATTATCTATGAGTGTAACTAGTAACTGGTGCAGGTTTGTACTAACAAACAGAATCACAGAATCCTTTAGGTTGGAAGGGACCTCTGGAGATCATCTAGTCCAACCTCCCTGCTCAAGCAAGGTCACCTAGAGCATATTGCCCAGGATCACATCCAGACGGGTTTTGAATTTCTCCAGCGAAGGAGACTCCACTACCTCTCTGGGCAACCTGTGCCAATGCTCAGTCACCCTCACAGTGAAGAAGTTTTTTCTCAGGTTCAGATGGAACTTCCTGTGGTTCAGTTTCTGCCCGTTGCCTCTTGTCCTGTTGCTGGGCACCACGGAGAAGAGACTGGCCTCATCCTCTTGACACTCCCCCTGCAGATACTTGTACACGTTGATGAGATCCCCTCTCA